ACAGTGACTTCTTTGCAAGAGTTGTCTTTTCCTGTCATTTTTATGAGAATAAAAGGAATGTCTTTTGGGTAACGAGGCAGTGATTTGGCAAGCTCTTTAACATCTTGAGGCAAATTGATACAGTGCCCAGAATAACCTCTTTGTCCTCCAGGTTTTATAAAAACTCTCATTATTGGGAGAGCTCTGGCTATTAACATTTGCTCAATTTGTGTTAAACCTTGCAATTCCTTAGGCACTGGAGAAGGTTTCATATAATTCTCCTTTGAAAATTTTTTAGGAACCTGCTTATCTCTTAAACAGTTGGTACACACATAGTTAGAAAGTGGTTTTTTATTACTGCGAATTTTCGTTTTCTGTGGCCAGGCCTCAAAGCAGATTTTACATTGGTAAATAGTATAATCTATGATCTGTGAAATGTTGTCATTTTTTTTAAATGCCAATTTATCAATCATAGTTGATGTTTTCAGGAACTTTTCATGTTTACAACTTTTGTTTTGATTGTCTTGCATCTTTTTTAGTTTAGAAGAAACAATCTTTTGCTTTTGAATTTTTGATTTGTTTTTTGTGTGTGAGCAGTTTTTGTTGTTAGCATACAATTTTGGTTTTTTATCTATTGTATTTTTAATTACTGGCATTGTAAAATGAAGATTTTGCTTTCTTTGATACACCATATTTGCTACTTTGTCATCATATTGTGATGTGTTTGGTGAGTTAGAAGCTTCTTCATCATCAACAAGCCTAGCTTTTTTAGGATGTGTTATCATATGTTGTGATCTATGTTTCCTTTTTTGGCTTTGTGGTTTAGCAGCTTTCTCTTTGAACATGCATTTTGTCTGTCTTTGCTCAATATAACATGTGTTTTTTTAAATTTTTTTTGCAATTGTTTCTTCCTTATCATAGTTACAGATACCATCTGGCTTGGAATTCTGAGAAAACTGGTGTTTTAAATCTGTGACACAAACATCTTGCACTACATCATAGTGAATTCTGTTTGAGTGGTTCAAATAGATTGAACAACTATTTGCAGGTTTTTTACCACCAATCATGGTTCTTGAAAATTTCAGCCATTTATGTGTTTCCCCAAATTGGGTGTAAACAAAAATGTCAGTGGATAACAGTGAAGCTGCACTGAAAATTTCTATGTCTGTTCCCCAAACTCCATTTCTAGTCATATGAGAGTTTGCTAAATAACTGTTTAATGACCTATTCATGTGAGGTAGCAGGAAATGTTCAATATGATACATGTGATTTATTATTTGCGCTCTCATTTGAGTATGATAAACTTGTCTACCAGATACAGCGTATGATAATGCTCGAAAAAGACAATTTCCATCACCTAATATGTGAATGAGTTTTGAGGGTTTGCCAAGCAGCTTAGAAGGCTTTAGACAATGTTTTACAGCTAATGGGAGATTAGTGATAGAACACATAAATTTCTGTGAACCTTCATCACAAGGGGTAAACATACAAGTTGCGGAATCAACATTAGGCCCAGGGTTAGTTTCAACATCATTTGCAGGCGAATTTAAATTACTATTGGTTACTATGATGGTACCTTCTGGTTCATTATCTGAAGAGACAGATGGTGAGTTAAAGGGAACTTGACCATCAACCAGTCTAGCTTCTTTAGCATGTGTTATTTTTTGATCTGATTCAGGTTTTCTTTTTTTGCATTGCGGTTTAGCAACCTCCTCTGTGAGCATCACCTTTGTCTGTCTTTGCTCAGTATGGCACGTGTTTTCTGATAGTTTTTTTTAGTAACAATTGTTTCTTTCTTATCATAGCTACGGATACTATCTGGCTTGGAATTCTGAGAAAACTGGTGTTTTAAATCAGTTACACAAACATATTGCACTACATCATAGTGAATTCCATTTGAGTTGTTCAAGTAGATTGAACAACTATTTGCAGGTTTTTTACCATCGATCATGGTTCTTGAAAATTTCAGCCATTTATGTGTTTCCCCAAATTGGGTGTAAACAAAAATGTCAGTGGATAACAGTGAAGCTGCACTGAAAATTTCTATGTCTGTTCCCCAAACTCCATTTCTAGTCATATGAGAGTTTGCTAAATAACTGTTTAATGACCTATTCATGTGAGGTAGCAGGAAATGTTCAATATGATACATGTGATTTATTATTTGCGCTCTCATTTGAGTATGATAAACTTGTCTACCAGATACAGCGTATGATAATGCTCGAAAAAGACAATTTCCATCACCTAATATGTGAATGAGTTTTGAGGGTTTGCCAAGCAGCTTAGAAGGCTTTAGACAATGTTTTACAGCTAATGGGAGATTAGTGATAGAACACATAAATTTCTGTGAACCTTCATCACAAGGGGTAAACATACAAGTTGCGGAATCAACATTAGGCCCAGGGTTAGTTTCAACATCATTTGCAGGCGAATTTAAATTACTATTGGTTACTATGATGGTACCTTCTGGTTCATTATCTGAAGAGACAGATGGTGAGTTAAAGGGAACTTGACCATCAACCAGTCTAGCTTCTTTAGCATGTGTTATTTTTTGATCTGATTCAGGTTTTCTTTTTTTGCATTGCGGTTTAGCAACCTCCTCTGTGAGCATCACCTTTGTCTGTCTTTGCTCAGTATGGCACGTGTTTTCTGATAGTTTTTTTTAGTAACAATTGTTTCTTTCTTATCATAGCTACGGATACTATCTGGCTTGGAATTCTGAGAAAACTGGTGTTTTAAATCAGTTACACAAACATATTGCACTACATCATAGTGAATTCCATTTGAGTTGTTCAAGTAGATTGAACAACTATTTGCAGGTTTTTTACCATCGATCATGGTTCTTGAAAATTTAGGCCATTTATGTGTTTCCCCAAATTGGGTGTAAACAAAAATGTCAGTGGAAAACAGTGAAGCTGCACTGAAAATTTCTATGTCTGTTCCCCAAACTCCATTTCTAGTCATATGAGAGTTGGCTAAATAACTGTTTAATGACCTATTCNCACTGTACTTCGATATTGTGATGCTCACATACTGAGCTTGGGCTACCTGAGTGTGTAGAAAGTTGTTAAATTGAAAACAACAAGTGCAAAATTGTGCTGTTACTCCAAAACTCAGTTTGTGAGCGGTGGAACTGAGATCCAATTAATATATCCCATCAGAAGTCACAGTTAGATCTAAGACCACTTTCTAATAACCCTTATGTGTGATGACGTCACGATTTCTTTGGTAACTTCAAAGCGAGGCTTGGTGATGGTGGTTTCGTGGGAATATAAAAGAAACATATAGGACACATCGGACATGGCTGTAGGAAATTCGCCTAAAATCACTCTTTCTGAGGATGATATCAATGGTTACTTCAGGGGAAACACAACTGGTAGTTGTCCCTCTTGTATCATCAGTTACCATTGGTTTAAACCCCAGGAGGATACTAAATGAGTTACCTGCCTCACCCTCACCCACTCCACCAGTTTCCTCTGCCCATTCTACCCCACCAATGAGAGGTAATGTAATCAGTTCCCCATACCATCCCAAACTGTTCAGACCACCCCATCCCATCATCCCTCTAGCCCCTTACCACTAACCCCTCTCAATTATTCACCACCCTGCCCTACATTATGCACTGGAGCTAATCTAAGCACATGAATGGATATGCCAATCAAGCTTCCACTACATGATTCTTCTGTTAATGAAGTTTCAGTTCCAAACAATTTGTCTGAAGAAGCCAAGCTCCTATTGAACAGCACAGTAAAGGTGAACTTTCACCAAGCTGCTGCAATAGAATCTTCAGCTAGAGAACAGTCTGAAAACATTGATTGGTTAAAGTATAGACAATGCCGACTGACTGCCTCAAAATTTGGTGGAGGGCTTAAGAGAAGAAAACAAGATTGTTCCAAACTTGTCGAGAGACTGACAAATTCCCATGGAAAATTAAAAGTCGGTTCACTTTATTATGGCCGTGACAATGAAGACATTGTAGCTGATTACTACTTACAATACCAGGAGAGGCATGGACACCAGGGAATCAAAGTATTCCCCTGTGGGCTGATTGTTAGCCCAAAATATAGTTGGCTTGGGGCTTCCCCTGACAGGATAGTTTACAATCCTAAGAGTGACCCCTCTTACGGAGGACTGGAAACTAAATGTATAGAGTCTGGTAAGGGAGTGACTCCCTTACAGACATACCAAGCCAATTGAGAGCCACAGTTTGGGAAAAAGAAATCATTCTGTTTAATCAAAAATGGTGAGATCCTTTAACTTGTCCGAAAACATCATTACCATCATGAAGTTCAAGGCCAGTGTGGAGTTTCAGGCCTGAGGTGGAATGACTTTATGCTGATGACTGATTTGACCCTTGGTGACCAAGGAATACATCTTGAAAGGATCTATTTTGATGACACATGGCATTGAACTTCACTACCAAAACTAACTGATTTCTATTTCAACCACATCATTCCCACATTACTGCAAAAATCTTAATTACTGTAAAAAATCATAAAATTAAAGCTAAGAAATGTAAAATCTACTGAAAAATTCAATCTCTTATCAGAATTTTTTCAATCTGGTGTCATACCCATTATCAGGCTCAATCTCAGTCATTCTCAGTGCCTAGTAGAATGTGATCTCACCTATTGAGCTGATTGGAAAGATTCACAGTGACATATATTTTGCTGAAAACTTAACTCACTAGCAAAGGGTATTAATGCCTGGGAATAAGGCTGACCCACTGGACAGTTGTTAAAAAAAAATTTTGTACTTGGCAACATATTTCTACCTATACATATGAGACTGTAATCTTGTAATATATTTTTGTAGAGTAATTAAATAACTATGGAATTCTGTAAATTGCACTTTTCAATAACATATTACTGTTTCAGTATATACCAGACCTGTGGATAGCAAGTCCCAATAGATAATAATTAGCCATTTTATTTTTTTGAAGATTGAAAAGCCAATCAGTCTGAGAAACACTACCCACTTGTATGGTAGATGCCAACATAAAATACACTTAAATAATAACAATGGTGGTCAGGTGGTCATGTTGCTGATTTCCTTGTCGTCTGACACCAATGGTGGCAGAAAGCTTGTCAACATCGCACAAACAAAGAAAATTTGATTAATAATGCCAGATGATCACAATGTGATTGGCACATAGTCCAAGATATGATAATTTTTGATTTGCTCGATGGCTTGTTCAACATGAATGCAAAACTTGGCAATGCGTTGAGTTTCCACAAGTTCATCTTCCTCAAATTGACCTTTCCCATTTAAGAGGGAATGTTCAACTTCACACTCATAGGTGCAAGGTCATCTGTATTTCAAACCCACGATCTGCCATTAACACATCACCCTTAGCCCACTCCTCGCCAAGTATGCCAGATTTCACTGGCACTATCACCACTGATTCCAATGAGGGACTTCAGGGTGTTGTGATTCTTGTACGTCGAGAATGTAAGCTGCTGAGCCTCAGGTTGTTCGATATAAATTTTGGTAGCATCAGTGATGCACCTTAATGTACAATGTAGGACAAAACTCCCTCACCTTTTCAAGTAAGTTTGTCAATGACTGCTTACGCATCGGCCAGATTTCTACTTCTTTAAAGCGGTGAAATGTGGCATTAACCCAGGTGGTGATAATTCTTGACATGTGCGATTGAGAGAGCTCAAAATGAACAGCTAAATCTTGTTCAAGCATTCCAACATGCAGCCTGGTCAACACCAGAAGTAGCTCATCTTCAGTAGTCAATTTCCTTGATGGCCGAGGTTTTGAACCTCCCAAATCTTCATTGTTGGAATTGGCATTACTTGATGATCCCCAGTAGGTCAGATTGTTCATTCCATTGCCCAAGAATTCCAAAAGGCAACAAAACTGTTCTTCAGTAAAACCGGTATAAAATTTAAAAACCTGTGGAACTTGCCGCAAATTTTTCACAGAGAATCTCTTGGTTTCTAAGGCAGCTTGGGCAGTTTTCCTTTGGGCAGTTTCTCTCTCCAGGGATAACTCCAATTCTTTGATTCTTGACTGTTGTTCTTCAGACTCCTTGATCTCGAGCTCCATATTGTCATTTTCACATTCTGCCATATCATCTGACGGGTTGTTTATGTATGAAAGTGGCTGCGTAATTTCAGTGAAAGCAGATGGTGCATAGTTTCTTGTGCACTAAAATCTCGCTCTCCTAAACTTTTTATCATAAGTTTCTTTATTACCTTCTTAGTGTCATTTTCAAAACCTGATGACTTGATAACAGTATTGAAAGTATCTTTTAGTTGCAATGAGTTTGGTTCACCCTTTGCAGCATATTTTGCAAGATATTCTATGCAAGCATGATGATCAATGATAACCTGAATGTCACAATTAGCTCTCCAGCCATGAATTTGAACTCTTTGATGGTTATTCAGTCGTGTATCATTTCTTTTTGTAACAATTTTAGCTCTGTATTGAACTGATTTGTCTTTGGTATGGATCTTTTCAAATTCTAATCTGGTTTTATCACAGAGATCAAATGGGTAATTGAAACGACACTTGAGATCAGATTCATTCTGTTTGTGCTTCAGACAATAATTGGTACTGCAACGTGTGTGGCGCTGGACAGTATTCAATAGGTTTACATAGTCATGACATTGTTCATCGTGTGATAAGTCTAAATAATGCAGTTTGCATGGATGCACACTTGGTTTTGACCAGTTATTTTGACAAGGAGGGCTGGGATTCCATGTTGAAAGCAGTGAATCTACATAGTCACAAATTGTTTTTGTTGCCATTTTGTCTTTTTGAATATCCTGCAAATGTTTCTGTTCTTGTTCACAAGAGTCTTGTTTTAATTTTTGTTCAGCTAAAAATCCTTTCAAGGCCACCTCAGTAAGCTCACAAAGACCAGGATCATTCTTTAATCTAGCTGTGCCGTGGCAATGTATGCTTCCTCTAGCTTGGAATTCATATCTGTACCAGTGCCATTCAGCCCCAAGAGTACCATACAACCAATGCTTTATGAAACTTTGTAAGCGTTGATCAAAAAACCAATCAACAATGTGTGGATTGTCTATTACATTTTGTCTCCTTTCCTCATTGGTGCAATCATGTGGTTTATTAGAAAACGATGAATGCAATTCTGGCCAATACATGTCTGCAGATGAGAAAGTAAAAAAGATGGTTGGGGTTCCTTTGGTGGTTATTATTGATTTTAATTCATCTCGCCGTTTATGCCAGTAAGCGTTACTACCTGTAATGTTGCCCACATATCTTGATAGCTTTGTCATAAAATTCGTGGAATCATTATTTGATCTCATTTCATGCAATTGCTCTATGGTGAGATGAGCATCATCTGGATTCTGTTTGATGGACACAGAACTTTGTTGTAAAGTGCGCTTTCTTTGAATCATATTAAGCGCCCAGTAGGAAAAGCGTGGATGTTTTGCAAAATGATAAACCCATTTGCCATCTAAGAATTGTCCAAATTTTAAAAGATGTTTAATGCTTTGAGCAAAAGGAACATATCTGTTTAAACTGGGATTAGTTGGATCACCTTTTCCATCAGGAAATAATGTTGGAAATGCCATTGTAGCTAAATATGGTGTTGTATATTCATTGAAAAGTTTATTTTGAATAGATGGCCAATTCATAATTTTCCCTGCTATTTCCTCTTGAATTTCCTCTTTTTCCTGTTTTCCATTGTGTTGAATAGGAAGAAAGCTACTTGTTTCAGTGTCCTTGTTATAGACTACATCTGAATCATTATGTAATTCAGTCTCAATTAAGGAATCTTGATCTTAGTCGTTGTTGAAAAGATCATCCCTTTTTGTTTCAAATGTTGGAAGTTGTGATGGTACACCATCATCAGGTAGACAGTTTAAAGCGTCTTGATCAATTTTAACATCTTTGTATTGAGGATTATGTAGTGTTAGCCAATGCAATGCATCTTCAACTTTATGCCTTCTGACAGTGACTTCTTTGCAAGAGTTGTCTTTTCCTGTCATTTTTATGAGAATAAAAGGAATGTCTTTTGGGTAACGAGGCAGTGATTTGGCAAGCTCTTTAACATCTTGAGGCAAATTGATACAGTGCCCAGAATAACCTCTTTGTCCTCCAGGTTTTATAAAAACTCTCATTATTGGGAGAGCTCTGGCTATTAACATTTGCTCAATTTGTGTTAAACCTTGCAATTCCTTAGGCACTGGAGAAGGTTTCATATAATTCTCCTTTGAAAATTTTTTAGGAACCTGCTTATCTCTTAAACAGTTGGTACACACATAGTTAGAAAGTGGTTTTTTATTACTGCGAATTTTCGTTTTCTGTGGCCAGGCCTCAAAGCAGATTTTACATTGGTAAATAGTATAATCTATGATCTGTGAAATGTTGTCATTTTTTTTAAATGCCAATTTATCAATCATAGTTGATGTTTTCAGGAACTTTTCATGTTTACAACTTTTGTTTTGATTGTCTTGCATCTTTTTTAGTTTAGAAGAAACAATCTTTTGCTTTTGAATTTTTGATTTGTTTTTTGTGTGTGAGCAGTTTTTGTTGTTAGCATACAATTTTGGTTTTTTATCTATTGTATTTTTAATTACTGGCATTGTAAAATGAAGATTTTGCTTTCTTTGATACACCATATTTGCTACTTTGTCATCATATTGTGATGTGTTTGGTGAGTTAGAAGCTTCTTCATCATCAACAAGCCTAGCTTTTTTAGGATGTGTTATCATATGTTGTGATCTATGTTTCCTTTTTTGGCTTTGTGGTTTAGCAGCTTTCTCTTTGAACATGCATTTTGTCTGTCTTTGCTCAATATAACATGTGTTTTTTTAAATTTTTTTTGCAATTGTTTCTTCCTTATCATAGTTACAGATACCATCTGGCTTGGAATTCTGAGAAAACTGGTGTTTTAAATCTGTGACACAAACATCTTGCACTACATCATAGTGAATTCTGTTTGAGTGGTTCAAATAGATTGAACAACTATTTGCAGGTTTTTTACCACCAATCATGGTTCTTGAAAATTTCAGCCATTTATGTGTTTCCCCAAATTGGGTGTAAACAAAAATGTCAGTGGATAACAGTGAAGCTGCACTGAAAATTTCTATGTCTGTTCCCCAAACTCCATTTCTAGTCATATGAGAGTTTGCTAAATAACTGTTTAATGACCTATTCATGTGAGGTAGCAGGAAATGTTCAATATGATACATGTGATTTATTATTTGCGCTCTCATTTGAGTATGATAAACTTGTCTACCAGATACAGCGTATGATAATGCTCGAAAAAGACAATTTCCATCACCTAATATGTGAATGAGTTTTGAGGGTTTGCCAAGCAGCTTAGAAGGCTTTAGACAATGTTTTACAGCTAATGGGAGATTAGTGATAGAACACATAAATTTCTGTGAACCTTCATCACAAGGGGTAAACATACAAGTTGCGGAATCAACATTAGGCCCAGGGTTAGTTTCAACATCATTTGCAGGCGAATTTAAATTACTATTGGTTACTATGATGGTACCTTCTGGTTCATTATCTGAAGAGACAGATGGTGAGTTAAAGGGAACTTGACCATCAACCAGTCTAGCTTCTTTAGCATGTGTTATTTTTTGATCTGATTCAGGTTTTCTTTTTTTGCATTGCGGTTTAGCAACCTCCTCTGTGAGCATCACCTTTGTCTGTCTTTGCTCAGTATGGCACGTGTTTTCTGATAGTTTTTTTTAGTAACAATTGTTTCTTTCTTATCATAGCTACGGATACTATCTGGCTTGGAATTCTGAGAAAACTGGTGTTTTAAATCAGTTACACAAACATATTGCACTACATCATAGTGAATTCCATTTGAGTTGTTCAAGTAGATTGAACAACTATTTGCAGGTTTTTTACCATCGATCATGGTTCTTGAAAATTTAGGCCATTTATGTGTTTCCCCAAATTGGGTGTAAACAAAAATGTCAGTGGAAAACAGTGAAGCTGCACTGAAAATTTCTATGTCTGTTCCCCAAACTCCATTTCTAGTCATATGAGAGTTGGCTAAATAACTGTTTAATGACCTATTCGTGTGAGGTAGTAGGAAATGTTCAATATGATACATGTGATTTATTATTTGTGCTCTCATTTGAGTATGATAAACTTGTCTACCAGATACAGCATATGATAATGCTCGAAAAAGAGAATTCCCATCACCTAATATGTGAATGAGTTTTGAGGGTTTGCCAAGTGGCTTAGAAGGCTTTAGACAATGTTTTACAGCTAATGGGAGATTAGTGATAGAGCACATAAATTTCTGTGAACCTTCATCGCAAGGAATAAACATACAAGTCGCGGAATCTACATTAGGCCCAGGGTTAGTTTCAACATCATTTGCAAGCCGTATCAAATCAGGAATGTAAAATCTGTAAAGATATATTTGGGTAAGCCACAGGTGATTGATTTGCATAAGCTCAAAACGATGAACAAGTGTTCTTAAAACAGGTAAGTATATTGCTTCCATGTAAAAAAGTAAGACTAAGCAACTCCAAAACCTTCCTTTAAAGCATTCCCTACATTCTCGTGCTTTCAGGTAATTGCAGTGCATTCCAATAACTATTCTGTGCTGCTGAAGAGAGTTACCCATTATGTTCAAGCTATATATGTTCACATACCTTAAAGCTTGCACTACTTTACAGCTTCTGAAAGAAAGTTTCCAAAAATTGGCATGTTACCACAAGTCCTTGTAAAAGGTACAATTCTTAAAAGCGAATATCAAGTTTAAAACACACAGTTGGAAGGAGGCGTGAAAGCACACCAGATAAATGAGGCATGCAAAAACACACCAACAAACATGAGATGTGTATTTGAACACATCAATGACAAGTGTATGCAATCTGCAGCAAAAAAAGTTCTGCAAGAAAAGGAAGCAACTGGTGTTACAAAACTGAGTGCACATTCACTGCCATGTAGGAATCTTTTCTGGTATGCATCAACTTCGTGCATGATCCCGAACAGATGGAGATTGAGGTGTGATAAGATAAATGCAATGCATTGTGGTGAAAAGTGTGGTTAAGTGCAATGCATTGTGGTAAAAAGTGTTGAATTCGAGAATTTCCCCTTATATATTTCCCCTAAATCCTGATTATGTTGCTGCTCGCTCCCTACAGTCGCTCTGCAGCAATTACGCGTACATTCACTGGAGATAAAATAACTAATTTAGGTATATTTTTGAAAGAAAACATTTTATGACCTTCGTTTGTGCAATCCCTATTTTCTTTTCAATTTGTCCCAGGTACTGAGCAGCGATTGCTAGGTTTTTTGCTTCATTTTCAGAGGAAAAACTGAGCTTTAACCTAACCCTGGCTGTCAAATATTTCAATGCTGCTGTCACAGCTCATTCCTCACGTCACGTCACACAATTCTCATGGCCCGAATGATTTCAGATTTCTTTTATCTTACAGCTATAAGAGTCGTATTTTCTAAGCACTACGTATTTGTTGAGAAAATTAGACTTATAGTATTTATGCTTAATTTTATTGACGGATAGGCTCATATTGTTACAAATAAATTTTTTTCATAATTTATTTACTATGAGTAGCCGGTGTGACAAGGACAACTAGACAGCGAATTTCGCCGGTCACCGGAGCTTACGGAGAACTCTGAGCAGCAACACAAAGAAACAAATGACATTTTCTGTATATCTCTAGAATGACTCAACAGTGCGGTTTTTGGCAAGAAATTGCTGTACGGCCTTACTTAACCTAGAAAATGCATTTCTGTGTGACTTGTCCAATGTCAGCAATGTTCAACGGAGTTTTTTGGTTGCAAAGAAATAACCTGTTGAAACTTCAACCGCAGTTGGTTTGTAATTTGCAGAAGAGCATTTGGTTCGGATGATATGAAAAGTGATGGTTTAGGCTGTCTATGAAAATGAAATTTAAGTAAGTTGCTTTTGCTTTTGCTTTCAGTTGGCTTCCATTTCCTGTTGGTCAAGTGCATTCTTAAGTGTGGTGTAGACCATACTTGGTGGTGCACTTTGGCTTCTTTGAAGTGAAGTGAAGTGAAGTGAAAGACTTTATTTAATGAGGGTGACCCGTGACAGTAACTTAAGTTACTGATAAACTTGGGGCCCTCAGCTTAAAATAATTAGAATGCTAAAAATATATTATTTACAATAAAATGCTAAAATACGGTATTATTTACAATAAAATACTTAATTAAGTTACTATTAAAAATGGTTACAAATAATAAACTGGACTTACAATTTCAAACATATTACGAATAATAAGAGTTAAAAAATTCCATTAGTTTTCTGAGAGTTAAGAATAGTATTACATAATTTAGCCTTAAACGATTTAACGGACTTCTCTGTTTT